ATTTTGGGGACCTGTGGTTTTTGATTTTTTAAAAATCCAATTTTTGAGCTAGAATGCTCTTCTTCGAACTTGATCTGTCTTTTTATGACACAAAACGACCCTGAAAATCCCAGGTCGCTAGCTCAATTCGTTCTCGAGTTATCGTGCGCACAGACAAACACACAGACACACAGACAGACAGACAGACGCGAAACTTTTTGATCACTGGAGTAATAGGCTTCGTTAATCGCTCAGCCAATAATCGCTCAGCCAACAAGTTACCTCTAAGAAAGATGTAAAAACAAAAATTCCTTAGAGAAATGTTTTGGGCCTTTGGTTTATGATTTTTTGACACGTTAATTTTCGAGCCCGAGGGCTCAAAATCAATACAGTTCTTCCTTTTTATGATACGAAGCTACAATAAAAATTAGAGTCTCCTAGCTCAAACCGTTTTCGAGTTGTCGTGCGTACAGATAGACGGACAGACAGACAAACAGACGGGAAACTTTTTGATCATCACTGGAGTAATAGGCTTCGCTAATCGCTCAGCCAATTACCAGAATAACTTCATCCTCATCCTCCATCTGGCGCTGTCCACGCTAAATCAGCAGGTAAAAAATGACCCCCTTGAATTTTTATTTTTCTTGTGGCTATCGATGCTCCCATGGATGTTGCACTCAGACCCGAAATTATTTTTTCGAAATCTCAACAGGTTGGGTGTAGGGCGCGAGTCAAAGTTCCGTCCCCCACCCCCTCAAAATCACTATTTTGGCCCGTGCGCCGGGTGCGCGCGCGCGGAGTCCACCAAATCTTGCCAGTGTGTAGTACTAAAGTAGACCTTCCGACGCCGCACGAGGCGAACCGCATACTTTCACTACTTATATCTACAAATTCAACATTTGAAACGCGACATTAGTGCGCTTATTTCTCAGAAAGTTATTTTTTGTTTTCGTTCGCACTTCGGCGCCAGGTACTAGCCTACCATAGCTACCGATAGCAAAAATAATTGGCGTGGGATCTGTATGGGCTGGCTTGGGAATCCCGGAAAACTGTTCAGAGCGTAGCGGGACCCATTTCAATTCGCGCGCTCTTTAATGGCGCCAACGTCTCTGGGCGGCTAGAGTGGCCACTCGTCCAGTGCATCGTGCCGGCACCTCCCTCTCCACGCGTGTGGTGAGGCGCGTGTATGACGAGTGCATGTAGGAGAGAACGTAACCAATGAAAATCCGCTATAGCAAATTAGAAAGGCATTTTTGTTTGACAAAATGAGTACTACAACAATAATGAACCACATATTTAATTTAGTCCTCCATTTAAAATTTTATT